ACATCAGAGGTTAGCAACATCACAAATGAATAGTGTGGTCAGAGTTCTTGGCAACAATCTAAAACTTCATTTGCAAACAAATGACACACAAACACACAATATGTATCATATAGAAAAATAGATTTAGAAACAAGCCCAAGAAATAATGTGTCCATGCCACGTTCTAAAAATTCAGTTATTTGCTGTGTGCAGTATCTCTTAAATCAATGCTTCTACACAGGAAGCCAGTATTTTGACAGAGAAAATGTGCTGCTGATTTGCAGAAGCTCTGTTTCTAAGTTCTGCTGCTAATCTGCATGTTGGGATAAGCACACTGATAAGCTTTACTGGCAGAAAATGCATGTGACAAATACGGTTCCAGACTGAAACTTACTTTAAGTGTTTTTATTTGTTTAATTGAAGGCATTTCATTTCTAAGGATTGTGAATTTATAACAAAATCAACACAGCCACAAGTTCAAGTGTTGTGCAGTAATTGTGATTATATATACACACACAAAATAACCACTCAGATGCCTTATTTCTTCCTGTGCAGTCTACAGCTTCCTCATTAAACCACAAAAACAACACTGCACATGTGGAAACAGCCTGCTCGGCCTGCTGGTGCAGCTGCATGCTACTCTCTGCCCCTCACTGAACAGAGTTCACACAATGAAAAGTATGCCTACAACAGGGCAACAGGAAGTCAGTACTACAATTCCTTTTGAGTTGATTTGTCAGTGGGTTGCTAAGAGAGTTTGAAAAGTGGCAAAATGTAATGACAAAGTTAACAATAAGGAGGTGAACTGAAGTTTGCACAACTGTCCCCCAAGCACTATTTGTATATAATTTCATATTAAAATAAGTGCATGTGTGTAGTAAATTAGATAAAGTATTATATGTATTCCTTAAAATTACTTACTGAGGGGTAAAAAAATTCCAGTTTTATCATTTGCAGTTTCAGACAGTTGGCTGATATTACAAATTTGCTTCATTGCACACTGCTTCCATCCTTAGTGTCTTATGTTTCACCACTTCCTTCCCTCCCTCGTATCTCTCATAAAGATATGCAGACACTGAGCAGAAGGTTCTTCATGTTTTGTTAGCCTGTCTTTTTCCTCTCTCACATCATCCCTTCTCCCCCCCATAGCCTTACCTCATTATAGAAGAAGTGCACGGTGTGGTTGTTAAGTTTGAGTGACAGGGTCTTAAGGAAGGAGATATAATAAGCCATGATCTCCTCATCCGAGAAGTCAAACTTGTGGACAATAATGGAGTTGACGTGGTTGTTTGATAAGAGATAATCTGTAATGAGAAAGGAGGCGACACGTTTAGGGTACAGAGAAGAGATGGCTTTTATTAAGCCTCCAGATTGTCATGCAATTTATCTAACAGCTCAGCATTTACAGAAAATGACACAGTGTTAAAAGCTGAAGGTGGACTGATTCATTTCACTACCTTAGGTTTTCTTTCACTGTTATTGGAACAAAGGTGAGGTAAAGCTCTTGTGGTGACTGCAACACCTTGCTGAAATACCAACTTTAGTTTATGTTTATAACAACCCATTGTGAAATGGACAGTATATAATCTACTAAGATTTTGGTTCCCCAGTAACAGATTTAACACTGTCCGTGAAGTTGGATTTAAGAAATAAGTGCTGAAAGTTAAAGTTTTTAGAACTTGTTTAGTGCCATCTTGTGCCAGTTACAGACTTACATTAGTTTATGTTACCTAACCACCATTAGAACCGATAACTCAGTGGAATATAAGGAGACTAAAACTTAAAAATCAGTCTAAGGGGATCACTGTTGTACTGCCCCTCACTGCCATGTATTAGCTGTAATATTCGGGTTTGCAAAGCACTTGAAACCAGCGTGAAGGACAGTCTGTTTCAATCACCAGCTCGACAAGCTCTTATACAGAATGCACCGAGCCGCGTGATCAACTCGCAAATCAGATGTTCGCCAAGTGCAATCAGCACTATTTTATGAAATAAAATAATATAGTTTTTTTGTCCATTGCATACATCAACCTATTTTTCCTGCGTTAGTAAGAAACTTTGTTATGTTTGACCATGTGGTAACCTGTTATGTTGTAAACTGTTTAGGTGTGCTTGGGAAAAGAGAGACTATTTTATTGTATAAAACAGGCCTCATTGACTTGGGTTTTTGACTTCAGCTTGCTGGTCCAGTAAACCACCTGTCACCTGAGAAAAACAGATTCTCCTTCACACATAGCTCATTTACAAAGTGCTTTATAAACCTGAATATTGCAGCTAACAGGTGGATTATCCCATTTCAGTGCAGTTAGCCAAACAATGAAGAACCACTTACTGCTTAACAGACAGAGAGTTAAAGTACAAAGTAGAGACTTGGTTTGTTAACAACTGAACATAAACTGTAGTACTAGAAAACATAATTTACAAAAAAATTGAAACACGATTAAAGTTTATACGGTTGAAAAGAGAATAAAGGGTTCAAGAAGCTAGCTGTGATTATGTTAATTTCAAGTATTTAATTAATGGTATAAAAATCTGTTAAATTGTTAGCAGAAAACAACGGATAAACAACTAAGTGAAAAACAACAGCTTGCTAAAAATGTGAATACGAAGTTGTATATTATTAGAAATGGTTAGCGGTTTAATTATTAGCTGTACACATTTAAAGTACATATAGTTACATTAATGTATGGATAAACTGTGGATTTGTTAGCTAACAACACAAACTAAATAGCTAGAAACATAGTCACATGAAAGAAAGTTTTCACAGACTTTATACCGTCAGTGCTTTTTACTGCTTTTACAGTTTTTACAAGGTAAGCAGTAGGCAGTTGCAAAAAACAGGAAAAGAGTAAAAGACAAAAGTGGAAATGACCCCCTTAGACTTCTTTATTTTTCCCTGAGTTAACAGTTCTATTAATAGTTACCTAACATAAACTAATGTCAGTCTATTAGCAGCATTAGTCAGAGAGTGAAATGATGTAATACTACTTACATAGGGAAGTCTCATGGCTAATGTTTTCAAAAAGTATATTGAGGGTCTGGAGGAGCTGGACACACACGTAACGTCCAGACTTCTGACGGAGGATGTTCAAGAAGAAGGCAAACATGTTCTTCTCCAGGAAGAAACTGGTCACAGACATAAGACACAAGCAAGTAAAAAATTTTTTTTAATTCAAGTTGACTGAATAACATACAACCATCATAAAATGGACAATGTCTTTAAAAAAAAAAGAGAGAGAGACATTACCCTGCTTACTAATATTATGGTTAGGTGTTTATTTATCATTTTCATACAGTATTCTTAATTTACAGCACTGTGCACTTGAACAACCTCTGAGTGTTGGCTAAAGACTTTTGCACAGTACTGTAATTCTTATTCTTATCGCAGTTGTTCTACTCACTACACCCAAATGCATCTCAGCTGACTCTCACTTTACTTTCCAGAATATTTCAACACTGTTAGACCATCATAATTTATGTGCAGCGATATACTGACTTTCTGCACTTACAGACCGCAAACTTCACCTTTAAAAAAAATGATCTCAGACTAATTCTTTGTTTAATATTAGGTTCTCATTTTAGAGAAGTAAACACCTCAGTACTTTGCATCATAGAAACTGGATAATGTTTAAAATCATCACTTTGATAGCAGAGTAAGATGTCACTTTAACTCCCACATTAGAGTACCACCTTCATATCTGTATTTAAAAGTGATGAATCGCACACTAAGACTTGAACTGGGACTTACTCAAACACAGAGCTGTCATTCTGGTCCCCCCAGATGAGGATCTCTGTGATCGAGCGGATGGTCTCCACCAGAAGGTTCCTGTTGTGATCTGTTACTGTTGTGTTTTTTGTCAAGACGTGGTACATATACCTGATAGAGAGAGTTACAGAAATAAGGTGAAAATGTGAAAGAGGAGGTGACAAAAGCCATTTGTTTAAATTTGACTGAAGTCATTAACATTCACATATCTGTATCTAAACCTAGCAGGACAAAGATTGCACTGATCGCGTGACATTGCAGAAAGCTGCTAGATAAACCTAATAACGTTTCAAAGGAATATTGATAGATGCAGTAGCGCTGTTACTGGCTAGTGCCGTGTAATAACCACTAACCTAGAAACTTGTGCACACAAGAGGTTTCCCTCATTTAGCCTCACTAGATCCCTGGCTCGGGATTTTATGTCCTGATTCAGGTTGATCGAAATCACCCCTCAATGTCATGCACCTGTTGGGGTTAAACGAATGCATGTTTTCGTACTCTGGTAAAAGCCAGTGTTTTCCAGCATGAGCTCTTTTAATTCAGCCTCCATGCAAGCTTTACAAAATTGGTAAATACAGTTCTTCGTGTATTAATGATATTCAGATTAAAATTTAATTTAAACACTTAATTTATCGTCTTAATTTATAGTGTCAATTCGGTTTTTGTCTGCTAGGACTACATCAGATTTTACTTACCTCGCAAAACATAATAAAAAAAATCCAGTAATCCTTGCTTTATTACAATTTGATTGAATAAATGCATTTACACACATTCACTACTGCTAAATATTTGGCTAAATATAACGCTGGTAAAAAAACGACTGTCGTTTTCAACCAGCGACCACTTAGGCTAACATTAGCTTATTTCATGCTAACTACTCACTTCAAATGGTCCAGGGAGTGGATATTTTTCGCTTTCCCCTGTCCTCCAACCCAGCTCCGTGACCGGCCAAACATGGTTGCGGTTTTAATGGGACTGCAATTTTGCCGGGCGCCTTGTTTTGCTAGTGTTAGTGTTCGTATCTATCCATTACACCCACTTTCCCGTTCGGCTAGCTGCTTAGCAAACAGGGGGTGATAGGCGGTGATGGTAGCCACTGCGGGGTCATTACGTAATAGCGTGGGCAAAGGGAGTTGTAGTTCTTTTCCCTACGAGAGGGTTTACAGTAGAACTGAGAAAAAACTACAACCAATGACTTCCCATGCTATCAATGACGGTTAAAGCACGCGACCATAACTGTTTTGGTGATTGACAGCTCTAAGGCCAATCAAATGCCGACGCTTTGGTTGGTTGCTGGTTGGGACTGTTTTGATGCGGTTGGCAGAAATGTTAAGACGGGACATTATAAACTATAAATAATTCGACGTGTGTTTTTGTGAATAGTTCGTCTCTTTCTGTCCGGGTGTGTAAACAACAAGTCCGCAGTAGTTTTCTTGCATTTTTTTAGACCGACTCCTATGCTACTTTTTTTTTTTTTAGCTCTAGCCACCAGCTGGCATGGCGTGAATTCAACAAACTCACGGAGTCAATGCCAAGAATGCGTCGAGCTAACTGGCTGTGATATTTGAATGTGTTCCTCTGGTTATAATTAGCTATGGACTTTATGTTGTTTAGCCCGCATGATTTCCTGTCGTTTTCTTCTGGACCGTACAGATAAGCTACTACATTGAGGGCTTCCTCTGAATCGTCGTTGCAGGCCAGGACGGGCCGAAATGGATGCCCCAATCCCAGCTACCCACACAGACTTCTAACGCTGACAGCAACAACTTCAGGCCACACACACACACACATACACAAGAACCCCTATCCGTGGCTTTCTTTATTTTCTATGACACACCAAATTTATGCCCAGCTAGATTCGGTGGAATCGCTCCTGGACGAACTCCCATATATGTTTTATTTGGGCCTGTTCTTTGTCAACGTCCTGATCCTCTATTATGCCTTCCTGATGGAGTACATCGTCCTGAATGTGGGGATAGTATTCCTGCCTGAGGATATGGACCAGGCACTGGTGGACCTCGGGGTGCTGTCCGACCCGGCCTCTGTTCCCTATGACACGGACACGGAGCTGGATGTGTTTGAGGGATATCTGGAGTGACAAGGCGGTCCTGGAAAGAAAAAACGGAATAATCAGATTTTGATAATGATGTTGCTGGGATCAAGAGGTCAGGCTGGTGCTCCCAGGTCAGCAGTTTGTTGGGAAAATGCCTCAAAGTGGATGCTTCTTAAGCTTTTTGTTCAGAGAGGCACATCAGGCAAAAAGTAAGCAAATGGCACAAGTGCAGTCAAACGTTTAAGTATTTAGACAGTCATAGTTTTGCAATTTTGATTCCATACACCAGGACACTGTGATTGAAGTACAGACTGTCAGTTTTTCTTTTGCATTAACTTTTTAGGAATTACAGCCTCTTCTTATACATAGTCACCCATTTACATAGGCTGAAAAGTAGTTCTTCAAGTGTTCATTTGGTGATGATTTCCATGGGTTCAAGACTTCTAGACAAAAGATTTTTATCCAAGCAGTTCTTTCATTTAAAATTTAAAATCCAGTTACTATCGAAGCTCTGAACACGGAGGACTGCATAAAAACAGCTGTAGTTTCTAAACTGTTAAATACTTTTGTGCAATCCCTGACTTAAAGCTGAAAGTCTGCACATGATTGTTTGATTGTTAAAATCCACTGTGGAGGTGTACAGAGGCAAAGATTGTGTAGTTCTCCAAACACCTAAGGACCAGATTGCAACAGTCAATAAGTAAGCACCATATGTTCAGCACACTTTAATAGCCAGTATATCTGTTATAAAGTCAAATTTAAAAATAAAGCTCTACCTTTTTATGATTGTAAATGTTTTTTTGTGTCTCTAGGTTGTCTCGACTTAAAGGCAGGTAGCCTGAGGATTCATCACTTGCAGACTTATGATCTGTGACTGTTTGATGGAAAGAGCACTTTGGGAAGGTGTGTTCCCAGCAGAATATCAAGCAATCACAAGAGGTTAGCGCTGGCCTCTGCTACCCTCGCTTTGGATACAACGAAAATGGAAGCACAGCATGGTGCAGGAGAACGGAGAGAGACGGCTGTTCCCTTTGGAAGAAAAATTAATGTTGCCAGGGATGTGGATCTATCCAGGAACTGGAAGTTCACTCTAAAAGCAAAATGTGTTTGAAACTTGCCGCATCAGCCACGGTGTGATGTCCTACAATGTGACATATGGCAGTAGAACTGGTGAAGTGCAGGAAAACAATGTCCAATAAGCATGATGAATACTTAATCACTCACAGAACAACTTAAGTCACCGTTTTATCCTCTAATACAGAATCCAATTCTCTCTTAAGAACATCCTCGCGGAGATTTGGGTCCACTAACATCACCCTTACTCTCAGAAGCACAGCTAAGAATTATGGAAGCACTGGTGAAGCATAACACTGTCTCTGAACTGAGGCGGGGAAGATGTAGGACATAAAAGTGCCGTAAACTTTTTAATATTGTCACTACGCCATTCACCACAAGTCAGAGTATTAAAGTGTCGAGAAAGAGGTATTTCTTTAGTGCTGTACCCCTTTGTTTGTCAGTAATTAGGCGGAGTGGTGACCACTGTGATCACAGCTGGCCAAACCTGTCAAATGTCTGAAAAGGAGCCTCTAAAGAAAGGCTTCATTCTTTTCTTTTTTTTAAAAAAACCCAAACAATTTACTGAGAGACGAGATGCATTATGCTGACCGTCTTCAGAGGATTTTGAGCCAGCTGTTTAATTCCTTGTGTTCTCCTGCTTGTGCTGTCACAAATTTAGAGCTGCTTTTTATGAAGTGTATATTCTCAACAGCAATAATAAACTGGATTCAAGCAATGGATCAGTTACATAGTTATACAAATGAAATGGTTCACAGGTAACCATTTCATCCATGAGCTTGGCCAATTGTGGATGGGGAGAAAGTAAATATAAATTGTCTATATTTTGCTAGGCAGCTTTTCACCGAGATTGCTGGTGCTGGTATTTTCCCTCGTCAGCACTCAATATAGGGAGATAATAATCCACAGCCACACTGTGTAATTAACTAATAGGGAAAAAGGGAATAAAAAGTCTTGCTGTGATTCAAGAACATGGATGAAAACAAAGTAATTTAAGAATGTTTTTCAGAGAGTTGGCACCAGAGTTTAACAAAAAGCCGATCATTGATACCTGATACCAAATCGTTTCTTATGTGGGTTAAGGCCTTGGTGATATTTTGGTAGTTGTTTTTGTCAAGATGTCCATAGCTAAGTTTTTTTGGAGGGAAAACATGTGTTTGGAAACAGTATTTAGACCACAGGGCACTAAAACTCAGGATACTAATAAAATATATAGTATGAATACTGTGTGTATTCCATACGTTTATGTGGAATTTAATCAAACAGGAACAGAATCAATACGAGGTAAGGCTGTGAATAGGAGATAATATTTAAGGAAGTGTGTAATCTCGCTGTCTCATGCTGTAAACAATGTTAGCAGGCGGCTTTCTTTTCATTGACCAATGTCAGTACAACAGTGCTTCTTAGTTTTGGTATGAAAACAGTAGCATCTGAAGCTGTAACAGATTTCCTAATTTTGTACAAAAGTCAGTGGCCATGCTGTTTCCCAGGCATGCTACCCTGTTCAGGGCCACCATCATCATCATCATCTCGCGGGCAACATACAACCTGTGCTTGTGCCGTCCCATCGCATTGGCTTCTTTGCAGACATGCACATGCTCAAATGAACTGTAGAGTTATATTTTCCATTGTGTATTTAATAAACTTTGAGCGAATGCCAGCTTGTAGCCTCTTTCTTTAAACCATCAGCTTGTGTATTTCTGCAGGTGTGAGGGTTTTATTAATAATCATGTGCATCAGCGTGATGTCATATTGCTTTTTAACCACAAGAGGGAGTGAGTGCAACAGAGAACAGCAGCAGTGGCTTCAAATTGTGGGAATTCTTTGAAGTCTCCACAATTCGATGATGGAAATCCCCAACAATGCTAAGTGTTCAGATTTGTTAGAATTTGCAAAGCGTGGTGGGAGTACGCTCTGCGTGATAACGGCCAGATGACGGCCTGTTATTTGATTCGACTCCGAGAAGCGGTGCTGCCAGGAACTGTAGATGGACATTTGCTTACTTTCAGGTCTATTCATAATGTGAATCCAGTATTTTCCCTTTCTATTTGTTGAGATTCAATCTCGACCCAGTTCTTTCATTACCAACAATTCATGCTTCACGTGTGAGATTAGTAATGAAGTATCTCACAAATGTAATTTTGTTTTTTATCACTTCGTCGAGTGCGCACGCAGAGACTGACGTTCTTAAGTGTTCTTAAAGGTCAGTTTGCATCGAAATGGAGAACAGAAACATGCAGTGAAGGAAGTGAAAAGAAGGGTTTTTTTCAAAAAACCCATTGAATTCAGTGAACACAGGGGCATCAGTGGAAAGAAAACACTATAAAAATAGTAGTAGGGTGAGTGTCAAAGCATTTTATTATTATAAAAGTAACCAGCAATCAGTACTGTATAATTTATAGCCAGAAAAACACCGTTATCCCCCCCCCTCTCTCTCTCTCACACACACACACACACACACAC